ATTCCCAGAGCCTGAACAATGCCTGACACGTGTCAGGTGCATAACATTGATTAACTGAATTAACTGATTAACTGAATTAATTAATCTATCAGCTGGAAGTATCATTCTGCTAAAAGCAAAGACTCATTCTTGACTACTTTCAAAGCGTAGTGGATGAAAGAAGGAAACTGCTCCTATGGCCTGAGAACCACATTTCCTTCCAGTTTGCCAAGTAGTTCTCAGAATTAAGGATCTTGCTAAGCAGACAAGCGGAGAAGGCCATTCCAAGAATGGGGAAGGTTTAGAGGCAGCAAATGCCATGGCATATTTTGAGAAATCAGGGGAATACAGACTTCAGAATGTCTAGATCACAGAGTCTGTGTGTTGAGGAGAAAGGGTAAAGAATGATAGGAGTTGAGGTTCCAAAGGAAGGTTGGGGGGCAGTTTGAAAATCGGCTGGTAAGACATCCAAAATGTTCAGACTACATCCCACTTAAGGTTTTAAAGCCAAAAAAGAGCACTGTCAGCTTTATGTTTTAGAACAGTTTCTGGCAACAGTATAGACGATGACTGAAAAGGGATTAGTCACACAGTGGTGTGCTGGTGCTGGCTTATACTCGCTCCTGAGAGCCAACTGTAAAACACTCAGGAATTGTGTGAGCCAGTTGACATCACATGTAGGTATCTTAAAATTGACCATGGTGAGAGTATTTATACCATGAAAACTGGCATACACTACAAAATCAGGGGTTTCCTATTTTCCTAGAAAGCTGGTTTACTAGCACACCCATGGAATTGAGCTGCAGAGGCCAGTAAGGTGCTATGTTAAAGCCCAAGTGACATGATGAAGCCTAAGACAGTGGTACTAAGAATGTCAAGGAAGTGACAAATTTGACAAATACACAGACATTATAATGTGTAGGACATAGAGACAAGCTGAAAATGAGTGATTAGGTAGAACAAGAAGGATGATTCCCAAGTTTCTTGATTGATTAACTGACATAGGGAATTCAGCTTTGCATTAAGCTAGATCACTAGGCATCTTTGTATAAAGATGAACATGAATACTCCCCTGCCTCCATGGAACTCATAATCTACATGAGGAATAAATACACATCTAACTAACCATATACAATAATGGTAACAGAGAATACCAGAGGAAAAGGTTAAGGAAGAGGGGTAAAAAAAGAAAAAGAGGGCTGGTCCCGTGGCTTAGCAGTTGAGTGCGCGCGCTCCACTGCTGGCGGCCCGGGTTCGATCCCGGGCGCGCACCGACGCACCGCTTCTCCGGCCATGCTGAAGCCGCATCCCACACACAGCAACTAGAAGGATGTGCAGCTATGACATACAACTATCTACTGGGGCTTTGGGGGAAAAATAAATAAATAAAATTATTTAAAAAAAAAAGAAAGAAAGAAAAATACTGTTTAAAAAAAAGAAAAAGAATTCATTCCATTTTTTCATGTGTAGAACCTGTACTATTTGTTCATATGTAGGTTTTTATATGTAGAACTATAGTGCTTGTTTATTGTCAAGATAGAAATGTCCAGTAGACAGCAGTTCTACAGCTCATAAGAAAGATAAGGACCATATATGTGTATATTTGTGTGTTTAGATATTAATTTTGAAACCATGAAAAAAAGACCAGATGATTTAGGGAGAAATTTTAGAATTCACAAAAAGAGGGAAATGGGGAAGAAAGAGTTCAGAAGCCAGGAAAACACCAAAAATTTGGGTGTAGACAGACGAAATGAAAGCAATCAAAAAGACTAAGGAGTGTTCAGAGAGAAAGAAAGAGACACAGAAGAGAATGGCAAAAACCATAAGAAGGGAGTTTACAGAAAGTAAGTGGTCAGCGGTGTCAAAGACCTTACAAAGATCAAATACAACGAAGGCTGAATACTGGCCATTGGATATGGCATTTGAGGACTGACTGTCCTTAAACAGAAAAGTCATATAATGCCTCTATTTTATAGTTTTCGCATTCGTATAGGAGGCACATCAGAAACAGCTCACAAATTTTCAAACTACGCATCTGCTCACCAACCCTATCAATCTTATCTTCTATCACTGGCAGATCCCTGACATAGTACATCACTGTTCCTGATGGAAATGTTTAATTCCTTAGGAATGCTGTGAGGGATGGGGGGAGTGAACCACTGATTTAGGGGCAAACTGAAGAAGACAAGCATCTAAAGGAAACTGGAAAAGAGCACTTAGAGAATTCTTAAAAAGAGCATGGAACTCACAAGCCACATGAGGAAAGTATTTCAAGAAAGTCAAACCCTTTTACAAGTAAGATAAGGACCAAAAAAGTGTCCATTTGATTTATCCACAAGGAAGTCACTGGAGACCTTGGCAAAGTGACTTTAATGGCATAGAAAGAAGGTGACTGGGTCCTTGAGACAAGAAGAAAACCCAGAGCACAAGAGGAGGGACTGCCCTTAGGAAGGAATAGAGACCACTTCCGCTGTAATTGAAAATACAAGGGAAAAAAGAAAAGATGGTTGCAGGTTTAGGTTTATAGTTAGGTTTAGATCAGGTTTATAGGTTTGATGGCAAGAAATGGAGGAAGCTCACATTTGCTGGATTCTCCATTTTTTCAGGGAAGTAGAAAGTCATCTGTGGAGCTTGAAAGGAGAAGTTTGAAAGAGTAAAGAAGATTTAAATAATCACTGTGGAAGATGGGAAAGAGAACTAAATAGGAAAATACAAACGGCAGAATTGAGGACTATTTACCCTCCAAAAACTAATTACAATTCCTGGAATGCACCCTACTGAAATATAGCTCTATGTCTGGCATGTGTTGTTTCTTCCACTTCTTGACATGGGGAAGTTCTATTTAGACTTCAAAACCAACTTCATCTAGAAAGCCTTTTCTGACACTCCCTTAGCCACTTCCAGTTATCATCCTCCTCTGTACTCATGTTTTACTTTGTATACAATTCTACTGCTACCCTTACAACACTATATTACAGTGCCTACCTTTATTTCTCTACAAGACTATTTCCCCTACTAAACTGATGAGCTACTTGAGGGTGGGAATTGCACACATATCAGGAGCTCAAAACTTGGTTAAACTGCATTTAAATTAAGATACAAAGATGCATTAGATAGAGAACCTAACCTAGAGAATCTCACAATCTAGTTCAGGAAACAACATCATTAGTAAGTTCTGATAAAAGTATATAAATTATCAGGAGAAGGCCAGTAATTAAGGACAATAAAAAAATATACAATAGTTCAAGAAAACAATAATTTAGAACTTTATTTCATTCGTTTACAACCAACTTTGGTCTACTAATGTGTGCATAAGCTTCTTACTGTGATGTTCAATTTAAAAAACATTTATCCTGCACCTACTGTATGCAAGGTACTGTTATTAACACTGTGGAATATAAAAAACGGTTTTACAATGCAGTAGAAAAGATTAAGTATACAAATTATTTTAATACAAGGTAAAATGTGATGGCGATTAGAGAATAAAACTGAGAACAGATGACAAGTCTTAGGAATTTGAACTTTATTGTGAAGGATAAGATATTTGAGGCATGTTAACTGGATTAATAACACAATTTAATGTGCTTCTCAAATGTTCTATGTTTAACTCATCTTCTTATTTCTAGCAACTTCTGTCCAAAACTATCAATAAACCTGACAATACACACGTTTTATTCCAGCCTGAACCAATGCTCTGAACCCTCCCCAACGTATGGTTGTGGATAAACTCCTTGGAAAAAAAAAACAAAAAAAAACACACACACACACAAATGAACCTGCAAGTGGGGCCACCTGTGTAGTCCAAGAATTTGTTAAGAGGGGATGTTTCCAACTCTACTTAAAAATGAGGCCCTCTTTCATTAAGCGTCTGTCAGCTGTTCTAGGTCTTAGACTTTTCGTGGGATCGAATGCTTCACCCTTTCATCACGAACTACGGCAGCAGACGGTGGCTGCCAACATGGGTCACCGGGTGCGGGGTCCCCGGACACCAGGGGAGCCCCAGGCGCGCGGAGCGTAGAGCTGATATGCGGCGCAACCAGAAACCAGGTGTCCCCAGGCCACCCGGACAGGAAGGGGCCACCGAGTCCCTGGGGAAAGAGGTTGGCGAGGCCAGCACCCAGACGCCGGGGTGCCGGGCGGAGGGGAGTGGTCACGTCGAGACCGGAAAACTTTCTGCAAAGCGACGGGTTGAGTCCCCCACCCGGGCCCAGGTGCGGAGCAGGACAGACCCCCAGCCCCACGACCCGGCCAGACCCTGACTCCTTACCGTCCTGCAGGAGCTCCCGAACGGTCGCTGCAGCCGCTCCAGAGCCCAGAAACCCATGGCCAGCCACAGCAACGCCACCGTCGCCACCTTCCATGTTGGCAGGTGCCGGGGTGATGTCGTCAGCAGCGGGCCCGCCCCGCCTAGGTGATGACGCAGAATCTGGGCGCCGCCCGCTCCGCCCAGCTCCAGGCTCCTGGCCGGCCTAGTGAATCTGCTCAGCTGTGGTGGCTGGACTGACCGTGGCCGGGAGCAGCTTGGGTCCTGGAGGGGCGGGCGTCGAGGGCCCAGCGCACTGGGGAAGCCTTGGCCGCGGGGCCGGCGCTTTCCGCCGTTTCCCGCCGCGCCCCTGGGGCTGGTGTCGTTCCCCAGGTGGAACAGAAGGTGGGCTCCGGAACGTGGCCGCCGCGGTTCTCTCGAAAGCAAGTATTTAACCTGAGAACAGGGGCCTCTGGGTTGCAGGCAGGAGAGGAGAGCGGAGGTTTCTGGGAGCTTCGCTTGTACTCCACGAGCACAGCTGGTGGGAGTTAGTAGCTACCCAGCTGTATCTCACACGCCTTGGTTCGCAATCCTGGGGCAAAGGCAGGCGGGAAAAGCTTGGGGAGGAAAGTTGCCAGGGATGAGTCGTGGGGAGGATTAGGGAGAGCTGAGAGGCGATGAAGAAGGAAGACTGAACCAGGAAAAGACAAGCGGGACTCAGTCTCTGCCCTCCCTCCCATGAGACCATGACCTTATGCTTTTTTCTACCTCTTCTCAGTTTCAGCCACGTGCTGTGAGCGACGCCAACCTTTTTCTTATTACAAACTGATGGATTTTCCATATCTCAAATAAGAGTATTGAAGTTGTAAAATCATCAAGTTAGTTCCTATTATATCTTCTCCGCTGATACATCTGTATTATTCACCTCGATTTCTCCCAAGTTAAATACTGATAAATTAACAGGTCAGCCACACGTGTGCAAGAAGGTTAAACTTTCTTCGTAAAAAGAAACTGTAATGTAATTTTTCCTTTGTGTACAATAGGTATGTACACAGGGAGCCAATTTTTCACAATTCCACATGTGAATTGTGGAATTCCACATGCATGGTTCTCTTGATTCCATTTCAAGACGGTGCTATAATAGTACTTACCCTGTGCCAAACGCTGTTCTAAGTACTTTACAAATCTGAACACATTAAAAACTCATAACAACTCGAGCAAGTCTCATAGTACACTGCATTGTGCTTTCTCATCACTTTGTCTCAGAGGTTTTTCCCTAGTATAATTTGTTTGATCTCAATCATGGTGTGGGTAGGATTGATCTGAAGGAAGGTCACACAAATTGCCAAAGGCAGTGTGCTCAGACTCACATTAGGTTTCCTTATCCATGATACACAAAATTTGCTTTTAATAATTTTTGAATATTAATGATGAATAAGTATTATCTTTGAATTATGGATTGTTTTTCTTTCCTTGGCTTTTACACTGGAAGATTTTAGAAGAGTTGCATAATCATTCATTCAATGAAGAGCTTTGACCCCCTACTATACTCTCCAGCATGAGTTTACAACATGAGACTCAATCCCTGTCTTTTCCCAAAGGAGCTTTGGAGTGTGTGGATTTATCTATTCCCAAGCTTGGTTGCTTGGGATTGAAATCACCTGGAGAGCTTTAAAAACCACTGATGCCTGCATCCTAAGCCCAGAGATTCACATTTAATTGGTCTAGACATGGTTTGGACATCTTGATTCTTTAAAACTCCCCAGATCATTCTAACGTACAACCAAGAGTGAGAACTACTGTTTTATTCATTCGGCAAATACATATTGAGGGAGGCCTCCTTTGTGCCATGTGCTGAGACTACCAGAATGAATAAGAAGGAAATTATTCTTGCTAAAGTCACTAATGACCTAGTTGCCATTGGACAGTTTTTAGTCTTTACTTTTCTGTGGTGTTTAAGATGCTTATCCCCTCCCTCTTTCATAACACTTTCCCCTTTCTTGGTTTTTGACTATGACTTTTCAGGTTTATTCCTCCCAGCTCCAGAGTTCACGTCTCTGTCTCCCTTGCATTCTTTATTTTCCTTTTTTAACTTAAATGTTGGTGCTTCTAAGGATTTCTTGTGAGATATGGCATCCTTAAATACTTTGTCCATGTTTTTAGTTTCAACTTATTACCTAAAGGTTAAAGACTCTGGATCTATATCTCTAGTTTTTTCTTGAGCATCATATCTGTATCACCAGTTACGAGGCATCACCAACTGGAAATCCCATGAGCACCTCAAGTTCAGTGTGCCCAAATGTGAACTCATGTTTCCCTGCCAAAACCTATTCCTCCTCTGCTTCTGTATCTCATTGGTTGGAATTGCCATTCACCCAGTCTCTAAAGCCAAAAGTGTACACATCATCTTAGAATTCTCTTATTACATGACATGTGCTGTCATCGAGTGATTTACACCTCCTGAATATCCTGCCAGCTTATTTTTATTTCTAGATAGCTCTTATATGTGTTCCCTTTCCTCTATCCTCACTCCCAGAGTCCCAGATCAGATACTCATTATGCATGGCCTGGTCTACTACAATGGCCTCTTTACTGATATTTTGCCAACAGCCCTACCCACTCCAGTGAAATCTTTCTAAATCAGAAATCTGATCAAGTCATTTCCCTGCTAAAATATTTCAATACAATATTTCAATAAAATATTTTTATACAACTAGTATACAAGGAGAGAGATACAGCCTGTAGAAAAATATCTGGTATACCCTTGGAAATATCTCATATGCACATGTTGAGTGCATATGTTAAAATCACCTACAGAGGAGGAAAAATGGTTAAGAACCAAGGCCCTACAGTATAAAATCTAAAAAATTTTTACCTAGTATAAAAGGCCCATGACTATCTAGGCTCTCTCCCTCTCTAGTCTAGTTACAACTCAAGCAACACTGAACTACTAATGGTTCACGGAAAACATCAAGCATTTTTATGCCTCTAAAGGCTTAATGTGTGTTGTGCTCTGTAACTAGACACTTCCCATCTCCCATGCAGTGTCAGCTCAAGCTTTTCCTCCTCAGCTATTGATAACTTCTCTCACTTCTCTAGACAGTTATTTCCACAATGCTTAAATTGTGTGTGTGTGTGTATTAGAGCTATTTTATGTGCGTCTAATGCTAATACATTTTTAAGGACACGGGAAATGTATTTTCTTCTGTATTCCCAACATGTAGCAGGAACTTAATGTTTGTTATATGAATAAAAACATGCCCATGCCCTTAAAAACTCAGGAAGAGACAGATGTGTTATTAGTATACTCTATAAAAGTAATTGCGAATGCACATGATAACAGAGGAGTGTCTAGGGCATAGTGGGTAAATAAGATCAGCTGGGATTCAGAGAAGATTGTCAGAGTCATCAAGATGGGAGATTATGCATACAGAAACTGGGGCAATGAAGATGTGCTCAAGACTTAATTAAAGGTACCACTTGGTTGACACATTTGAGGGAAATGGAGAAGTAGAGGACAAGCCCCAGGTTTCTGACTTGAGTGAGTAGGGATAGATGGTGATGGCATAACTAGGATATGAAATGCAAGAGAAAAACAGCTTTGACTCATGGAAAGGAAACGACCTTTCTGTTGCTTTATACTTAGCCTGTGTAGGTAGCTTACATCTTTCTAATCATGAATTTTATTTTTTTTTTTGTGAGGAAGATCAGCCCTGAGCTAACATCCATGCCAATCCTCTTTTTGCTGAGGAAGACTGGCCATGAGCTAACATCTGGCAGATTTTCCTCCACTTTTATGTGGGACGCCGCCAGAGCATGGCCTGACAAGCGGTGCCTCGGTGCGCGCCCGGGATCCGAACCTGGGCCACCAGCAGCGGAGCGCGCATACTTAACCACTACGCCACAGGGCCGGCCCCTCTAATCATGAATTTCCATTAAAAAAAAAAGATAAGAAGCTAATAACTTTGTCTAAATTTTTTTAAGTCAGACTGATTGAACAGTGATCAGTAAAACTAGTTTATCTTATTCCAGCTGTATACTCTACCTAAGGAAATTGAAATTATTGGTTTATATTTAAGTTATATCAGTACTTTCAGGATTAGCCAGGCCTTTTGAAAGTCGGCCCATATCTGTTTCTAAGTTACTAAGGCCAAAAACTGGAATATGGAAAGCAGCCAACACTATTAAATGATAGGATTTTAAGGAGAGGAACTGTAAAACACTTATAAACTATGTAATTTAATCACTTGTAGCTCTTTGGGTATAAAAGTGATTTACTATGCAATTATGTAATTACAACTGATTTTCACTACATAATACCGTTATTTAAATTTTTAAAAATAATAAAGATCTGTTTGCCTTATGATTCAAATACAAAGAGTAGGATTTGAGGATAAGAATAAACATTAAACATACCAGTATATCTTTTGAAATGCTAACTGCTTAAACTTGTTCTATGAATGCCATTTAACTTTGCTGGATAAAACAAGATATTTCCAAGTACCAGACGTACACGGTATTATACATGAAATGATTCAAATCAAATTTCTTGGTTTATCAGTGCCAAACAAAGTAACATGGAAAACTTAAAAAGTAACATGAGGGGCCACCCCCATGGCTTAGTGGTTAGGTGCGAGCGCTCCGCTACTGGCGGCCCGGGTTCGGATCCCAGGCGCGCACCCACGCACCGCTTCTCCGGCCGTGCTGAGGCCGCATCCCACATACAGCAACTAGAAGGATGTGCAACCATGACATACAACTATCTACTGGGGCTTTGGGGCAACAAAAAGGATTGGCAATAGATGTTAGCTCAGAGCTGGTCTTCCTCAGCAAAAAGAGGAGAATTAGCATGGATGGTAGCTCAGGGCTGATCTTCCTCACAAAAATTAAAAAAAAAAAAGTAACATGAAAAATCAAAATGGTATTCTAGAAAAGAAATCTTGTCGTTTGCCATTTCCACATGAGCATTTATTAATTTGAGAAGAAAAGGTTACGATAGTGGGTTAAGTATAGAACTTGAAGCTGTTAGCATTTGACTTAAGTGTAATTTGTACAGTGTGCTAAAAACTATCAGTGACTTATAAATAGAGGCAGAATTCGGTAGTTTCCTATTTGATACTGTGAAAAAAAGCTGAAAAGATTCCTGAGCCCATAAGTCTGATGAAAAAATATATTCTTGGCAATTGAAATTGTTACAATGATGGGAATTCATCTAGTGAAAGTACCTTTTCTCCATGCAAACTGATTGTCTTTTTCAGATTTGAAACAGATCTGTATTCATGAAGAGTGACTGCACACAAAATACAACATGTCAAGAAAGAAAAAAAGATCCAATAGAAATGTTGCATTCTGGGCAGCTGGTAAAAGTCTGTGCCCCAATGGTTCGATATTCAAAGTAAGTATTGTCAAATGGTTAATGAGCTAAGATGTGATTTCCTTTTTATGCTCTGACTTTTTTAAAGTAAGACCACCCCACCACATGGGATCTTCGAACGCCTAGTTCTGGGATCATGATCTAGGCTTGAGTTCTGGTGCTACCACCCGCCTGTATGTGTGGCCCTGGTAAACAGTTAACTGTTTCCAAGCTTCACTCCTTATATCTATAAAAATGGTAGTGCTTATAACGCCCACCTTTAAAGATAATAGTGGATATTAAATATACGTTATATAATATAAATATATATACATATATATAAAAACATTTACGCATATGTTTTTGTGTGAACATAAGTCTACATTTGTCTGGTAGAAATCCCCAGGACTGCAATTGCTGACTCATGTGGTAGTTGTATGTTTAGCTTTTTAAGAAACTGCCAAACTTTTCCAGAGTGACTGTACCATATTATGCTCCCACCAACAACTTAGGAGGAATCTAGTTTTTCCTCATCCTCACCCCAACTTTTAATAATGCCACTTTTTTTTATTTTAGCCATTCTGATAGGTGTGCAGTGATATCTCATTGTGGTTTTACTTTCCCTTTCCTTTATGGCTAATGATGTTGAACATCTTTTCATGTTTCATTTATCATCTATATATTGTTGAAGAAATGTTTCTTCATGTATTTCACCCAGATTCTAATTGGATTGTTTGCTTTTTTACTATTGAGTTGTTTATTTTTAATTTTTGATTGTGGTAAAATACAACATAAAATTTACCATTTGAAACATTTTTAAATGTACAGTTCAATAATGTAACTACATTCACATTGTTGTACATACAATCTCTAAAACTCTTTCCATCTTACAAAACTAAAACTCTATACCCATTAAACAATAACTTCACCTTCCTCTAGCCCTAGCAACCATCATTCTACTTTTTTGCTCTTTGAATTTGACTGCTCTAGGTACCTGATTATATGTGGAGTCATACAGTATTTGTGTTTTTGAGACTGGCTTATTTCACTGAGCATAATATCCTCAAGGTTCATCCATGTTGTGGCATGTATCAGAATTTCCTTCCTTTTTAAGGCTGAATAATATTCCATTGTATGTGTGTGTATATATATATATATACACACACACACTACATTTTGTCTATCCATTCATCCATTGATGCACACTTGGGTTACTTCCATCTTTTGGCTATTGCAAATAATGCTGCTGTAAACGTGGATGTATCAATATCTCTTTGAGGCCTTGCTTTCAATTCTTTGGGGTATATGCCCAAAAGTGGAATTGCTAGATCATATGGCAATTCTATTTTTAAATTTTTGAGAAATCGCCGTGCTGTTTTCCATAGCAGCTACACCATTTTACATTCCCATCAGCAGTGCAGGAGTGTTCCAATTTCTCAACACTTGTTATTTTCTGGGGGGTGGGGGGGGAGGTGTTTTTTATAGGCATCCTAATGAGTCTGAAGTGGTATCTCATTGTGGTTTTGATTCGTATTTCCCTAGTGATATTGAGCATCTTTTCATGTGCTTTTTGGCCATTTGTATATCTTCTTTGGAGAAATGTCTATTCAAGTCCTTTGCCCATTTTTGAATCAGGTTGTTTGATTTTTTGTTGTTGAGTTTTTGTTTACTATTGAGGTTTGAGAATTCTCTGTATATTCAAGATACTACTCTTTTGTTAGATATGTGGTTTGCAAATATTTTCTCCCAGTATGTGGCTTCTCTTTTCATCCTCTTAAAAGAGTCTTTTGCAGAACAAAAGTTTTTTATTTAATGATGAAGTCCATTTTATCAATTTTTCCTTTTGTAAACTGTGCTTTTGTTGTGAAAAGTAAGAAATCTTTATGTAGCTCTAGATCCTAAAAATTTCCTCCTTTGTTTTTTTCTAAAAGTCTTATAGTTTTATGTTTTACTTTTAAGTCTATGATCAGCTTTGAGTTAATTTTTGTGAAAGTGTGAACTTAGGTTGAGGTTCATTTTTTTGCCTATGGATGTCTAATTACTCCAGCACCATTTGTTGAAGAGGCTATCTTTCCACTATTGAATTGCTTCTGCATCTTTATCAGAAATCAGTTGCGTGGGTTTGTTTGGTTCTTTTTCTGGATTTTCTGTTCTGTTCCATTGATCCACGGGTCTATCCCTCCACCAGTACTGCAGTCTTGATTACTATAAGTATATAATAAATCTTGAAATTCGGTAGACTTATTTGCCCGTTTTTCTTTTTCAGAATTGTTTTGGCTATTCTAGTTCCTTTGCCTTTCTAAATAAATTTTATTTTTTTGTGAGGAAGATCAGCCCTGTGCTAACATCTGCCAATCGTCCTCTTTTTTTTTTTTGCTGAGGAAGACTGGCCCTGGGCTAACATCTGTGCCTGTCTTCCTCCACTTTATATGGGACGCCGCCACAGCATGGCTTGCCAAGTGGTGCGTCGGTACGTGCCCAAGATCCGAACCAGCGAACCCTGGGGCTGCCGCAGCGGAGTGCGCACACTTAACCTCTTGTGCCACCTGGCCGCCCCCCTAAATAAATTTTAGAATGATCTTTTCTATATCTACAAAAAACCTTGCTGGAATTTTCATAAGAACTATATTAAATATATATATCACTTTGGGGAGAATTGAATTTCTCTCAATTCATGCACACAGTATGTCTCTCCATTTATTTAGATCTTCTTTGATTTCTTTCATCAGTGTTGTATAGTTTTCAGTGTACAAATTCTGTACATGTTTTGTAAGACTTAACACCCAGTTACTTTATACTTTGAATTTCAGTGCCCATGTGTTCAGTGCTGGTGTGTAGAAATAAAGCTGATTTTTGTATGTTGATCTGGTATCCTGAGAACATGCTAAATTCACTTTTATTGGTTCTAGGAGGTTCTTTTTGCAAATTCCTTGGGATTATCTATGTAGACAATCATGTCACCTGCAAATAGGGATAGTTTTACTTCTTCCTTTCCATTATATGCCTTTTATATCTTTTTCATGCTTTATTACACTAAGTAGAAGTTACAGCACTATGTTGAATAAGAGTGATGAAAGCAGACATCTTTGCCTTGTTCTGATCTTGTTCTGCCTTTCATCTTCAAGCATAAGTTAGCTGTAGAATTTTTTGTGGATGCTCTTTATCATGTTGAGAAAGCTCCTTCTATTGTTTTTCTGAGAGTTTTAAAATCATGAATGCATATTGTTTTGTCAAAACCTTTTTCTGCATCAATTGATATAATCATATGATTTTTCTTCTTTTGCCTGTTAATATGGTAGATTACATTGATTGATTCTGAATATTGAAGCTTTGGTTTTAATCGGCTTTTTCTGACACCACCATAGCAGGGAAAGGATGAGAAGGCACCACTTCATTATTATCTGGTGGAGGTAAAAGTCCAGGTTCCCCACTTGGTCACCTTTGACACTCTGGGGGCAGGGGGCTCCTCATTACTGCTGAGCAGAAGTGAGAGTTCCAGCTCCCCATGGAGGGGGTGGCCTGGTAACTGCTGGACAATGATGAAAGTCCTGGCTCTTCACTAAGCATCCTCTGACACTACTCCAGTTGGGAGGGACAAGGGCACCTCGCTACTGCTGGGTAGGTGCGGAAGTCCAGGCTCCCCAGGTAGTCTCCACTGATACCACTGGGTGGGACCTTGTTACTGGCTAGCAGGAATTAAAGTCCCAGCTTCCTACCTGGCCTTTTCTGACATCACCATGTAGGGTGTTGGAGAACCTTGTTACAGTCTTGGAAAGGTAGAAGACTAGGCTCCCCTCTTAACCTTTGTTTGTGGAGATGGGGACCACAGTTTTTTCTCTGGTGTTTGGCTGTAGTAGAGCCATTATTATCTAAAAGTTTTCTGTGTTGCCAGGCTTCCCCTTTCCTGGTCCTTTGGTTAGAAAAAGCAGACTTTTGTTGGGGCTGTTTTTGTCTGTACCCATTAGTATTTCTAGGTTGCCAGCTTCTTCAGCTTCAAGTCTGGAATATTTGAGGTAAAAAGTAAACCCAGAGAACTGACTTGTCAGTCCTCAGGTCACTAGACGTCTGCTCTCTTCTCTCCACCTTTCAGAGTTTTCTTTTTTTTTTTTTTTTCCCCTTTTTCTCCCCAAAGCCCCAGTAGATAGTTGTATGTCATAGTTGCGCATCCTTCTAGTTGCTGTATGTGGGACGCCGCTTCAGCATGGCCGGACAAGCGGTGCCGTGGTGCGCACCCAGGATCCGAACCTGGGCTGCCAGTAGCGGAGCGTGCGCACTTGACCGCTAAGCCACAGGGCCAGCCCCTCAGAGTTTTCTTATGTTTGTTTTATATATAATATTCCAGGGATTTTAGTTATACTAAGCTGGAGGAATAGGGAAAAATACGTCTACTCCATCTTCCCATAGGCAGAACTTTTCTCTAATAAATATTTAATGATTAAATTAAACTTGGAAGGGCATATGATTATGGTGATTTTAGTACTAAATGCCTAATTAAAGTTTTATATGCTCACAGGTTGGCTTTTAGAACACTAGTAAGAAAATACAGTTGTGATCTGTGCTATACACCAATGATAGTTGCTGCTGATTTTGTCAGATCCATAAAAGCCAGAGACAGTGAATTTACCACAAACCAAGGTATGTGAAACCCAGAGTTTACTGACTTTGTAAAACATTAAAAAAAACCCTCAACTATCTTGTCTAATCAGAGACAATACAATTCACATATTTTACTTTAAAATCTTTTAGTTTTTTGTTTTTTTAATATGTTTTTACTCGGTGCCTTATAAACTATGGATGATATATCAAAGTGTAAGGTCAGCCTTCCTTAGGGCCCCTATCCTCTCACCAGGACTCCAGATTAGATTCCTATCTCACTGCCTCCAGTCTTGTCCCATTCCAAACTATCTTCCAATCAGCCCAAAGTGACCTTTCTAAAATGTAAATTTGATCACATCTCTTCCCTGCTTAAAATCCTTCTTGGACCTCTCATTGCCTAAAGCAATGGTTCTCAAAGTGTAATTCCCCAGACCAGGATCATTATCAGGAAATGTGTTAGAAATGGAAATTCTCAGGCTCTACCCCTGACCCAGTGAATCAGGAACTCTGGGTATGTCGTCCAGCAATATGGTTTAAGAAGCCCTCCAGGTGATTCTGAGCTTGCTAAAGGTTGAGAACCACTGGACCAAAGAGTAAAATTCCAGCACCTGTGGATAACATACAACATTCTTCATGCTTTAGCCTCTGAATGCCTCCTCTGCAGCTTTATCTTCTGTCAGTTTCTTTCCACAGCCCACCAACTTTATTCTGCAAAAATACTAAGTTATTTTAAGTCCCTGAACATACCCTGTCCTCTCATACTTCTCTACCTAGAATGTCCTTCTCAGCCATGCCTGTCCCCCAGATCCCTGTCTCTCTCTGGCAAATGACAGTTCATGCTTCTTAATCCACCTCTCAAAGTTTGTGGCCAAGGAACTCTGCTGATCACCCTACATCCATGTCCTCTCTCTTAAGCACCAGCTTTTTGTTGTACTTAATCATGTTGTTAGTGCCATCAGGCACAAATATACTCAGACTAAACCAAAAAGTGGGAAAAATATTTATAATATTTTTGATAGATAGCTGAGCTAATTTCTTTTTTATAAAAATTTTAATAATAAGAAAAGGACAACTAAAAGAAAAATTGCTCATAGAAAACTGTGCAAAGAATAGAGAGAGTGAGCCCACAAATAAAAATATACACTGTTGGGTATACAATGTGGGATAAGTTATGAGAAAACAAGAATTTTCATCCATATTGGTGTGTATCTATATTGGTAAACTCTTTCGAAAGAAAATTTTGCAATATCTATCAAAATGTTAAATGCTTATCCAACAGTTACACTCCTAGGAATTTACTCTATGGATATACTCGCAAAAGCATATATGTAAGAGTATCCTCATCACAGCATTGTTTGCAAGAGCCAGAAATGAAAAACAATCTAGAAGGACACTATATGATCCACTCATACAGTGGAATATGCCACTAAAAAGAAGAAAATCTGGTCTGAGTAGAGCTCCCAGATACATCAGGGGAAATAAAAGCGGTAGGCATATCAACATATATACATAGAATGTTCACATTTGTTTATATTTTACTGGTATACATAAAATTGTTCTAGAATAAACTAGTTCTCACCTTTGGGAAAGAGGTCTGTCAAGAGTGTTGTACTTTTCATTTTATCAAATTTTATACTGTTTGAATTTGTACTAAATGTAAATTGCTTTTAAATTAAAATATTTAAAATTATTTTAATGCTATCTTGTTGGAACAGATGGTTCTTAGGCTAAAAATAGTTATTGTTTTTTATCCTGTACACACATTAGCGTTTGGTATCTGGTGTGTGTGTGTGTGTGTGCGCGTTTCTGTGGATTTTAATGTGGAGCTATTCGTTTTATCAGGTGATTGCCCATTGATTGTTCAGTTTGCTGCTAATGATGCAAGACTTTTATCTGATGCTGCTCGTATAGTCTGTCCTTATGCGAATGGAATAGACATTAACTGTGGTTGCCCTCAGAGGTAAAGCTCAAAGAAGTTGGAAGAATTTTCAAAAAGATTAGAAAAAAACTATGTGAACATGGTAAACTATCTTTCTAGTTTTCCAAGAATTAAAAAAGTAAGAAACTTGGGCTCTAAATAAAAAGAAAGAAAAAAATAAGGAAATATTATTTAGGAACATACCCACAAAGGTGTTTTCAGATGGCTAAAACAACGTATAGACCCTTGACAAGTGTTTTGTCCCACCTCACCAGCAGAATATTTTTAATGCATGGATCTGCCTTGAACCTTATCCATAAGTAGTATCTAAGGTTTGCAGCAAGCCCTAAAATGTATTTTTACTGCCATGTCAGACATACTTGCTCTAGAAAGTATGATTCTGTGATTTGGGAGATCACCACTTGTTTTCTCCTAATTAGTTTTCTTTATAAGAATACCTTTTTATAATTACCTTTTTTTCCTATACCACAGTTATTTGGTTGAGTCTAAGTAACTGGGTGTTGATAGCATGTCCTTAATTTGACAACGGTATCCCTCCTTCCTGGCACTGTACTAGATTATCTGTCAATAATTCAAAATGTATCCAAAGAATAAAATCAAGGTTTTAATTAACAGCATAATCCAAATCAGATTACACATTTGTATACTCATTAGGAGAGTTAAATAAGCTGTTTAGTGGTGTTGGAATGCTGTAAGCCAAAAATATCTTTCTACTATTAAGACTAATAAAACCTCTCGTTATGTACAATAAACATCAAATTTGGAATTTAAAAAATCTGAAGTAATTGCAGTTAATTACAAATACTTAAATCTGTTTTGGTTGAATGAATTTTAATTTAATTTTCTTACTTGCCAATGAAAACCATTTCCCATAAGTATTTTTTGATCTGGGAACATGTTTTCCTAATGTGATATTGATCCACTTAGAAATGTTGGATCTATGAATTGAAAAAATCTGATTTCATTCTAAATCTCTAGAGAAATGGATAAGTGCACTTACAGTGCTTTTAGAATTGTATTTTCTTTCCCATCTATTTGCAATTTATTTGTTATTGTGTTTGCTTTATAAAGGTGGGCAATGGCAGAAGGTTATGGAGCTTGCTTAATAAACAAGCCAGAACTTGTTCAAGATATGGTGAAACAAGTAAGAAATCAAGTGGAAAACCCCAGATTTTCCGTATCTATTAAAATAAGGTAAAGACAATATTTTAATCTATTGACAAGATAGTCCATTATTTAGGAAATAAAAGAATATTCCTTTTGTCTGGGGGTAAGGGGATCTATCCTTAATAAATTGGTGGCTGGTATATGGAAATGGTGAAACAAGACATTTAGTAGATGAATATATACCATAATTTTTATTTACAATTCAGAACAACTTCCTCTTTGTGTTTTTTAACAGAAATTAAAACATCCCTTTATTATTAAAAACTTTCCCCCAAAAGAAACCCTCAACTTGTTCCATGTACTATTTAATTAACAGTAAGAAACCTTCCTGGTACCAAGAGGAGAAAATAGGAATGATATTTGCAATAAAATTTCACAACGAAAAGAAAATAAACCAGGAATTGGTTTTTTGGTGACAGGTTAAAAACATATCTCAAGATAAAGTATTATATTCTCCCACTTGTGGATTGGGGCATGCACAGCAAATATTAGCATAGCATCTTTCAATTCATCTGTGACAGGACTTTGCTGACTTTTTCAGTTATCAAAGCCAAAAAAGGGCCAGCCCCGTGGCTTAGCGGTTGGGTGCACACGCTCCGCTGCTGGCGGCCCAGGTTCGGATCCCGAGCGCGCACCGGTGCACCGCTTCTCCGGCCATGCTGGGGCTGCATCCCACATGCAGCAACTGGAAGGATGTGCAACTATGACATACAACTATCTACTGGGGCTTTGGGGAAAAAAAGGAGGAGGATTGGCAATGGATGTTAGCTCAGGGCTGATGATCTTCCTCAAAAAAAAAAAAAAAAAAAAAAAGTCAAAAAAGAGGAGCACTAGGTAAGATAAAAGTTATTTGTCATCCTATTGTTGCCAATAGTGAAATAGCTAAATTTGAAGGCTTAAATGGGAACTGATCCCTGAACAAAAACCTTACTGATAGTGGTGTGTAATGATAATATGAGTTAGCAAAGCTAACTAAATAATATATTAGATGAAATATTTTATTTAGTTTATTAACTTTAGCATTAAGATTTATGTGCTGTGAAAAGATCGATATAATTTTTAAATTATAGGATCCATGATGACCTTACAAGAACTGTAGATCTTTGTCGAAAGGCTGAAGCAACAGGAGTTTCCTGGATTACAGTCCATGGAAGAACTGTTGAAGAAAGACATCAGCCAGTGCACTATGAGGCCATTAAAATAATTAAGGAAAACATGTCTATACCTGTAATTGCTAATGGAGACATCAGAAGCTTAAAAGAAGCAGAAAATGTGTGGCATATTACTGGGACAGATGGTAAGAAATAAGTACTTCAGTTTTTTGTCTTTTAATTAGCAAAAAAAAGTGGGAGTGGGAGAGTAATGTTAATGTGATTTTTATTATTTTTCTTTGAAACAGAGCCATATTTTCCTATTGGACTGATTTAAGCTAAGCAATTGATTAAAATGATGTTAACTCTTCTACTTAGAAATGATATATTATTTTAATTGGGGTAAATTAATTAAGTTACCTTTCTGCCACCATCATATCCAGTGACTGACCAGTTAAGAATCTTCCAGATAGCCTATTAGTAAAAGAGAACACCTAGGATAGAAATGAGAGTTAGTGAACACAAGAGTGGTCACAGGAGCCAAAGGAACCCCAGACTGATATGCAGTTTCATTATCCTCTTAAGTTATTGGCATACTAAGCCCTGTGACACCTATTGCTAGATGGGAGAATGCAGATAAAGTTAACTTTAAGCAAACCCAATTTATGACAATCTGGATTTACCCTAAAAAATCTCTAAAGACTAATTGTTTAATGTGCAAGTCTTAAAAAAAAAAAGAAGAAAGAATTCCTATAAGTACATTTAAGCTTTCTTGGTTTACAAAAAGTATCAAAATAGTTTTATAATTGAATTAAACACACTAATATAAGGACATTGTGAAACCTTTTAATAATACTTTATTTTTTAATATTCTCAGTTTGTTTCATTGACTTTGACCTCATAACCATGAGTTCTTAATGTGTGGACAAATATGATGTGCTTTAATTTGTAGGTGTGATGGTCGCAAGAGGACTTTTAGCAAACCCGGCCATGTTTGCTGGATATGAGGAAACCCCACTGAAATGCATCTCGGACTGGGTTGACATTGCTCTTGAACTTGGAACTCCTTATGTGTGTTTTCATCAACATTTAATGTACATGATGGAAAAGATAACTTCAAGGCAGGAAAAACGAGTATTTAACGCTTTGTCAAGCACATCAGCAGTCTTAGATTACCTTACAGACCATTATGGGATTTGACTGGACTTCCTAAATTATTTTAATATATACTTCATTTTATATCTACAGTGAAACCACCCAAGATGGTTTAAAGGTTTTACTTTAAATCAGTGGCTCTCAAACATTAGTTTAAAAACAGTACCCTGAGAGCATTTTTAAAAGTCAGTCCTAGACTCCATCCTCAGAGATTCTGATTCAGTACATCTCAAGGATGGACCCAAAATTTACAGTTTTAGAAAATACCCCAGGTGGTTCAAACATCCTAGTCATCCTAGGTCCAAACGTTGACATTGTTCTGAATCCTATTGTGGATGTTAAAAAAGTAAGAAATTTTTTCCTAAAGGAATCGTGTTTTTAACATTTTTAAATAAATGAAACTTTTTAATACTAAAAGTATGGCTCATAGCATCTGTAAGTTAACATGAAGTATGTTTTTAATGATAGTAAGTGCAGAGAAGTGACAGAACAAATGCCAACATCTGTATAAAATTAAAAGGAACAAGAAATTCTGTATAGAATCGCATTCAGGGCTTCAATTAAAAATTCAAATTAGAAAATCAAACTGGTACTTCCTAACTCATGAATTACACACCTCAAGGTATTTGTTTTAAATTGTATGTAAGTGAATTTAATTAGATGTGATGTTTAAAACTGAGATTCCATGAAACTCTTTAAATGACATGAAATTTGTTATATTTCAAGCCTTCTAGATCTTAGAAGATTGAGAGCTTAGTAAATATATCTGTACCTAAAATGATAAAATTAATTTAGCCCCCCCATAAGTATAAAAAATTTGGTAGCTAATTTGGAGATGATTATATATTTGAAATAATATTCCCTGGAGAATAGTAACCAGGTTTTATTTTTAATTATAAACCTAATTTTCCATACCCTGTTTTTAGTGATATTATTTTTATGCCTCCCAGCAGTTGATATAATTTTAACTTTAAAGTTCCATGGTTTGGGAATGTTACTAATAGAATTTTGTTATTGGTGAGTGTGCTACTACAAGAATTAAGTACCTCAGGTTAAAATAAAACAGTTCCTGGGGCCAGCCCAGTGGTGCAGCAGTTAAGTGCGAGAGCTCCACTTTGGCGGCCCGGGGTTCACAGGTTCAGATCCCAGGCACTCACCAGCGCCCCACTTGTCAAGCCATGCTGTGGCAGCATCCCATATAAAGTAGAGGAAGCTGGGCATGGATGTTAGCCCAGGGCCAATCTTCCTCAGCAAAAAGAGAAGGATTGGCATTGGATGTTAGCTGAGGGCTGATCTTCCTCACAAAAAAATAAATAAATAAAACTTCTTAATTAAGATATTGGTCTATATAGCCAACATGAAAACTGTTATAAGAAGACATTTATCTAAAACTGCTTAATTCAAGAGTTCGGAAATATTAAATAAATCACTTTTTACATAAGCACTGCGTTGCTGTATTTTTTGCTTAGGCACATTCTGTGCTTTCATTTTTCAATTAATGTATTTTTAAAGATAATTAGCTTTTTCATTTGATATGAGTAGTACATAAGCAAATAAGAAGCTATAGTCAAAACTTAGTCATTTTTATGTTTGTAAATTAAATTTACAAATTATGTTTGTACATTATGAAGTGAATTATACTAGTGTTGTGGGCACAGTAGCATAATTAGAGTAAGGTGCACAGCCTTTCAAAGGAACCAGTGTGGAAGGGCAAGCAGTCCTAAATGTGTTTTTTTTTAAAAAAAAAACCTTCCTTATGGTTAATTTATGTTCAATCTTCTCTTTTATATGTGATCAAGTATATTTGTGATAAGAAAAAGCACCGCCGTACATGTGTTTTTATATTCTATAATTACCTCTTTATTTTCATAATTTGTTTAATGTTCCCAAAATAATTGTCTCCAGTAGAATAATACTTTTATTTGCATTCCTGATATGTCAATATTGAAAAAAAATCTTTAATAACTCGAGTGTATTCACGCGATTTGAAAAAATGGAAAATAATAAGAATATACCCATACCCACATTGTTTCCTTTCCTGTCAGTTCCCAAACATCACCCTAAAGTTTATTGCCTCCTCGCGGCCCATGGACAAGAGCAGAAAAACTTACAGAACGAATGTGTTATGACGCTACACGTTCTGCTACATTCTCAGAAGAACAAAATGTACAACCACCCAATCCTGGCCCTTCTAACTACAGCTCATTTCCGGACGATGAAACCGTTTCTACCATAAAAGAGAGACGGAAAGGAAAAGAGTGCCTTCAAACACGTTCACTGAATTGGCATCAGCCCAGGTAACCCTCCCGCCCCGGCGCCATTCCTTCTCCCTGGACCCCAGGAAGCTTTCAGAAACCGTCGGTCCACCGCCCCCCTTCCACCCAAACCGCACTTGATTAGAAATTTAAAGTCGGCTCTCCTGAGGAAGCTGCAGGCGGGAGCCCCAAGCATCGGGTATGAGTCATCCCCTCACTCCACCACCAATTAGAAAACGGTGATTGCTGATCATCGTATTCGCGCCGCCGCGGAGCGCAGCGAGCTGGCGCCCTCGGCCCGGGCTGGGGGACGGGCGGGCTGGGC